GAGGCAGGGACTCTTTAACCTGCAACTCTTGAGCCTAAGGTAGGGTTTGGGGGGTTAGGAATCTCTGATGCCAAGATCACAGATCCTCAGGCCCAGGGCCTAGCCTGGGATCTTAAGTAGGGGCTGGTGGTCATCACCCCCGCCCTGAGGTCATCGGTCCCTCGGGGATAAGACAGCTTGGTGGCCTTGAAGTGATGGGATGCTCCCGAGTAGCTTGATAAACAGAGATGCCTGGGCTCCATCCATGTCACTGAATCTCTGCACCCAGGGCGTGGGTTCTGCATCTTGACAACTCTCCCAGGTTTGTAGTTTGGGAAGAAACACTCTCCTGGGTCTGGTTTGGATGGCTGAGGCAGAAAGTCCTGACTCCTGTGCCCAGGCCGAAGGATTGGGGTCAGACCTCAGTCCAGGGTGAGGAAGGACCTTCATGTCCTGAGGCTGCTCTCTCCCAGACATGGGTTGGGGGACTGAGGCCCGAGAAGGTGGTCTTGAGACTCCACTCCCCCCGTTTCTGGAAACAGAGGTGACCTGCGGGAGGGGAGAGAACAGTGGGCACCTGCTTCGAAGGTGGGTGAGGCAGTGGTTCCAAAGCTAGAGCCTGGGCCTCCTTGGAGTGGGGGAGGGAACCCAGATGGAGGGTTTCTCCCAGTCTGGTGCTGGCTGGCTCCCTGGGAACCAGGGGGAGGCTTGGATAACCGGCGTGGGTAGCAGAGTCCCTGCCCACCAGAGACGCCCCTTATGGTGCCCCACAGAGGAGGACTTTGACTGGCCGGCGGCCTGCATTGAGCTGGAGCAGCACCTGTCCCGCTGGGCGGAGGACGGGCGCTGGGCCGAGTACTTCTGCCTGGCTGACGGGCACTTTGCTTCCATTGACTCGGTGCTGCTGTTCCAGGTGAGATGGGGTTCGGCGAGAGGCCAGGCCGGGGTGGGCCAGGGTGACCCCAACAGTACCACCTCACTCCCCTCCCAGGGCGGGGCCTTCTGTCTGTCGGGCTCCCGGGATCGCAATGTCAACCTGTGGGACCTGCGGCAGCTTGGGGTGGAGCCCAGCCGGGTTCTGGTCAAGGCCCTCGGCACCCAGAACAGCACCCACAAGGTAAGGAAGGCTCCAGGCAGCATGAGGCCTAGGTAGGGTGGGGTGACCAAGTGGTTTTAGCACCAGACCTGACAGATGACAGTCTTACTCTGCTACTGTTAGTGTGATTTTGGGTGTGATGTATGACTTCTCGGGGCCTCGGTTTCTACTTCTGTCCCGGGTCCGTGAGGATGAGTGAAATGAACAGCCATTAAGAGCTTCACTCAGACTCGCATACACAGTAGGTACTCACTAGATGTCAGCTATGCCTTGAGAGGCCCAGGGGAGGCTGTTAGGAGGCTGTCCTTGGGGATCTGATAGATCTAGGCTGGTGGCCAGGAGCTTGGTCTCCGAGCCGGGCTGCTGGGTTCCATTCCTCATTCTGCTATTTCCTGGCGGTGTGACCTTGGGCGAGGAACTCAACCTGTCTGTGCCCTCAGTTTTCTCATTTGTAGAATGGGAGACCTGACAATATTCTCAGAGGGTCTGGTGAGGAATAAATCAGCCATCAGCCAGCACTCTGTGGATTATCCCCTGGGACGGGGACTGTTTTTATGCCCATTTTCCCAACGAGGGAACTGACGGAGCAGACGTAATTTACCCAAGCCATGGAATGGAGAGGCCCTGTATTTAATCTCATTGTCATGTGGCCTCAAACCATCGCAGGTTCCGAGTCTCCGCAGAACTTGGTTTGGGACTATTGTTGGGTGAGGGGGTATGCGTACCCTGAGCTCTGCAAGGGGTCAGACCTGCAGACCTCAGCTCCGACCTCTGCTATTGCTCTGGGTTCTTGGGTTGGTTGTCTTCCTCCTCTGGCCTTCCACCTGATTTATCTGAAATGAGGACTGTCGTTTGGATCTGGTCCTGCAGGGTTGGGTGTGGTCGCTGGCAGCGCTGGATCACCGAGTGTGCTCCGGTTCCTGGGACAGCACGGTGAAGCTCTGGGACATGGCAGCTGACGGGCAGCAGTTTGGTGAGATAAAGTATGAGGGGTGTTGAGGAGGGGCCGGGGCGGGGGGTGGAGGGGCGCGCGGGGCAGGGCCCTGCCTGGCCGCAGCCCAGCCTCGTGCTCTGTTTGTCCCAGGGGCAAGGCAGCTGTGCTGTGCCTTTCCTACCAGCCTGACATCCTGGTGACTGGCACCTATGACAAGAAGGTGACCGTCTACGACCCCAGAGGTGGGCCAGGGGCCTGGACTGGGGAGAACAGGGCTGCCTGGGGGTCCCAGGGTCACGCTGGGGACGGAGGGAGGCACTGGGGCTTCACAGCCTGGCTGGGTGACAGTCCCCTAGGCCGCTGTTAACCGCCCAGAATGGCCCGGCGTGGAGTAAAGGACATGGAGGGTACCCAGCGGAGGGCCTCTGAGCCGGAATCCCGTGGAGGGGGGGGGGCAGGCGGCCCCCGAGAATCCTGGCTCTCCCACTCCCTGGCTGTACGACCCCAGTCAAGCTTGAACTTCAGTTTTCTTACCTGTAAAATCAGATAACAACTCGAGCCCTTTAGGGTTAATGGGAGGAGATGATAATAAGAACACTGATGGATTGTTTGTTTCATAAAACCCCTAGAACAAACCTTGCCTGGCACATAAGCCTTTTCGGTCATTTTGTTATTCTTACGTTGTTGAATTAAAGGGCCGGCGCACCTCATCCAGGCAGAGCTGAGCGGGGGTAGGGGTGGTGGGTACTCTGCTGGCATTAGTTGGCATTTTATGCTGGGACTTGCCCGTCTGCTCTGTCCTGGGAGCAGATGGGACAGGAGGAGAGATGCAGGACAGGAGATGGGGGTGGCACAGGCCTGGGGGTCTGGGAGGCCTGGATTCCACTGGAGCTGGAGAGGAAAGACAGGTGATTTGTAGGATAGGGCGTGGGGGCTGGAAGCTGACGGAGGGTTTCACCATAGACCACAGAGGCCCTGCATCCTGGGGTTGGCTTGGGGGTGCCTCTGAGGGGCGCTGATGTCGCCTTCCTCCTCGGCCCATCACCCACACAGTGGGCCCAGTGCTGCTGAAGAGCCGGCGGCTGCACTCGAGCGCGGTGCTGGCGCTGCTGGCGGACGACCGGCACATCATCTCGGGCAGCGAGGACCACACGCTCGTGGTGTTCGACCGCCGCGCCAACAGCGTCCTGCAGCGGCTCCAGGTGAGCCCTCCCCGGCGCCCCCCGGGAGCCGGGCCGCGGCACGGCCCGCCTGAGCTGCTCCGTCCCCTGTCCCCCCGCAGCTGGACTCCTACCTGCTCTGCATGTCCTACCAAGAGCCCCAGCTCTGGGCCGGCGACAACCACGGTCTGCTGCACGTCTTCGCCAACCGGGACGGCTGCTTCCAACTCGTCCGGGTCTGCCAGGGCCTTTGCCCCTGTTCCCCCTTCTCCTTCCCGAGCCTCCGCTTCCCCCTACACCCCCCCCACACCCCCCGCCGTGGCGACGGCAGCTAGCCTAGCCTGCGGAGAGCCTTGCCTGAGCGTCCCCTGTCCCTCCTCCCTGCAGTCCTTCGACGTGGGCCACAGGTCTCAGATCACGGGGATCAAACACTCGCTGGGGGCCTTGTACACCACGTCCACGGATAAGACCATCCGGGTGAGGCCCCAGGACAAGCTCCCTCCCACTCCGCCCCCGCCGCTGGGGGGCGCCCCTCCTGACTTTTGTCTGTTGCCCGTCACCAGGTACACGTGCCCACAGACCCGCCAAGGACCATCTGCACCCGCAGCCACGACAACGTGCTGAATGGGGTAAGGCCCTGTGCCACGTGCCCTGCCCCCCACGCCCTGCCGGCTGCCCGGAGCGCCCCTGAGTCTTCGTGTCCCTGACCAGATCTGTGCTGAGGGCAACCTGGTGGTGGCCGCCTCCGGGGGCCTGTCGCTGGAAGTCTGGAGGCTCCAGGCCTGAGCAGGCAGACGTGGATGTGGATGTGAAATCGACTGGCTGGCGGGCCGGTTCAAGGCCTCTGTTCTCGGTTGCGGGGGGGCCCTCCCCTTTTCTGGTGCTGCCCTGGGGCACAAGGACTCCAGGCCACTGTTGGACAGCGTCCCTGGTCTGTGCTCCACGTTCCCGCCCACCCTCGGGGCCTGTTTACAATTGGACGCCTGCCTTCCCTCAGGAGCGAAGGGGAAATAAACCTCATGTACTGGTGCCGTGGCCTGGAGTGGTGCCTGCGTGGGGCTAGGGTGCTGGGAGGCCCCCAAACTCAATCACCATCCACCCAGCCACCCTGGCCTCTGCTGCGTATATGTGGGTGCGCCTGTGTCCACCCAAGTGCATTCCTGGGACCATGTGTGTCTGTGCATCCCCACGGAGCGAGTTAGCTGGCTGTGTGTGATGTCTCTGTGACCGCATCTGTGGCTGTCCGCATGGCCATGAGGGTGCACGTGCGAGAGGAAGAGAGAGATTCTGGAGGACGTGGGCACCTGTCTGTATGATGACAGCTCTGTGTGTGTGTGTGTGTGTGTGTGTATTATGTGTATGTATCAGTGTGCAGTGGCATGTAGACAGGAACTGCCCCCGGATGTGTTTGTGCAGAGGGAGAGGGGACCTGCTAAGGCTAGCCCAGTGGTTGGCAAACTCATTAGTCAACAGAGCCAAATATCAACAGTACAACGACTGAAATTTCTTTTGATCCAAAATTTTTAAACTTAAACTATATAGGTAGGTACATTGTTATTAACGTAATTAGGGTCCTCCTAAGCCGGCCTTTGCTAAAAACTCAAGGGGCCAAAGAGCCGCATGTGGCTCGCGAGCCACAGTTTGCCGACCACCGGGTTAGCCCATAGGTGCGGGCAGGAAATGGTGAGAACAGAGTGTGCTCTTCCGTCCGGAGGCCAGGGGGTGTGCCCCTGTGGCAGTGATCCCGGAGAGGGCCGGGCGGGGGCTGGGCCAGTGCCCCTGTAATCCCGCAGCTCCCACTGCCCCCCCCTGCAGCTCACCGAGCCCCGAGGAGCATCACTTCAGGTTTATTGAGGCCCTCGGGGCCGGTGTCATAGGATGGCGCAGGGCTTCTTCTCCTTGAAGGGGTTGGTGGCCGCCGGGATGCCCACCAGGAACGGGTCGCTCTTGGCCTGCTCCGTGCAGAACTGCAGCAGGTCCGTGGCTGCCTTGGACACCTGCAGGCCAGCCCAGTCAGCCAGACCGTGGCCGTCCCTCCGTCCCCTCGCCCAGACCTGCCCGCCTGGCCTCGGCCTCACCTTGATGCGATCGAGGCCAGCCTCCATCCTCAGCTGCTCCACGGCCCGGCGGGCCTGCCCGATGTCGCAGCCGAAGGCCTCCCTGCTGGACATCTGGGGGAGGGGGAGAAGGGCCATAGGCAGCAGGCTGAACCCCAGACCTGGAGTCCTAGGGCCACCGAGAGTCCCCGCACCCCTTCTGGCCTCCCCTGAGAACTGGGGTGGGGTGGACGCTCCCCACCCATCAGAACCACTTACCTCAGCTGAGGACTCTGGCCGACTCCTGGCTGCTCAGGTCTCCTGTGGCCCTGCTCTGCCTCTCTCCCGCCTCCCTGCTCCCCACTTGGCCGCTCCAGTCCCCTCCTCTCTGACCCCCGCAGAGACTTTGAAGCCAGGACACCCACGGAGTGAAATGTCACTAGTGACAGCAGCAGCAGCTGCCTCAGCCAGGGGACTCCTTGCCCCAGGAGGCCTGGTGGGCACCCTGTGGTCATGCATTACCTCGGTAGAGGGAGTGTGTGGCCCTGGTCTCTCACTGACTGCTTAATTCCTGCTAACTGGCCCCAGCACCCCTCTTTGCAGCCTCTGTACCCCAATGTGCAGTGTCCCCAGGCGCGGGTGCATCCCTGCCTCTCCTCTCCATCTGCACTCACTGCCCCGGGATCCACCACATGGATGGCTCAGCCCACTGGCTTATGCTGATGGCTTCCTGTGCCCCAACCCAGCCCTTCCCTGACCTCGGTCCACCTGGGGACCCTCCAGCCTCCTTGGTCCCTCCCCCCATCTCTCTGGTGTCTCTCACTACCTAGGCCAGTGCTGGGTTCTGGATTGCCTTCTCCCCAGATTACCTTCTGCTCCCAGATTCACCACCATCCACCACACTGCCGTGGCCCAATCTCCAACTCCTTTATTCCTCTCTTTCCAGTACCCCCACTTCTAATCCTTTCTCAAGTGCCAGCCAGTGAACCTTCCAATTAGGTCCTGAATCCGGTCACTTCTCTCCACTGCCATGGGTCCCATCTCCATCCTTGCTCACTTGGACCAGTGCATCCTGGTCCACCCCCACCCCCACCCTCACCCCTACCCCCACCACTGTTCTCAAGGCAGCCAGTGGGAAATGTTAAAAAAATAAATCAGAGTAACATGGATGAACCAACCTTGAGGGCATTATGCTGAGTGAAACCAGCCATTCACAATCGGACACATGATTCCATTCATATGAAGTCCCTAGACCTGTGGTTGGCAAACTGCAGCTCAAGAGCCATATGCGGCTCTTTGGCCCCTTGAGTGCGGCTCTTCCACAAAATGCCAATGCCTGGTATTTTGAAGAAGTGGCATTAGAAGTTTAAAAAATGTGGCTCTAAAAAGGAATTTCAATTGTATTGTTGATATTTGGATCTGTTGACTAATGAGTTTGCCAACCACTGCCCTAGAGAAATCAAATTTATAGAGACAGAACATAAAATGGTAGGTACTAGGGGCTAGGGTAAGGGAATGGTGTTTTATTTGGACAGAGTTTGGGAAGATAAAGAAGTTCTGAAGATGGATAGTGCTTGCAATTGTTTGCATAACCATGTGATGTGCTTAATGCTGCTGACCTATACACTAAAAATGGTTAAGATGGTGAATCTTATTTTTAGTCTCTCACTTCCTTTTTAAAAAAAAGATTTTAAATTGATTTGGGGAGAGAGAGGAAAGGAGAGGGAGAGGGAAACACTGATTTAAGAGTGAAATATCAGTTGGCTGCCTCCTGCCTGCCCCCTACTGGGGATAGAGCCTGGAAACCTGGGCGTGTGCTTTGACCAGGAATTGAACCGGCAACCTTGTGGTGAATGGGATGACACGCAACCAACTGCCACAATGGCCAGGGCGCTCACTTCCTTTTTAAAACTCTCCAGTGGTTTCTCAGCCTCTCAGAATAAAACCCACCCTTCTTACTACAGCCCATAGTGTCCTGCCTGGTCTGGCACCTCCTGCCCACTCTGAATCCATTTATCAACTTCTTCCTCCTTCATCCTTCATGGACCACACTGATGCCCTTGTATCCATTCATTCATTCATTCATTCACTATCTTTGCTGAGATCCCAATGTGTCCAGCACTGCTTAGGGTAAGGGGATCAGCAGTGGAACCAGACAAAATGCTGCGTTCATGGAGCTGTCGTTCTGGTCAGAGACAGGCAACACCAAACACAATATGTTTGTGTGCTCTGAAAGACAACACAAGTAAGGTAGGGGCAAGACTGGGTACTTGGGGCAGGCCTCCTGGAGGAAGTACTTATTTTTAAATATTTTTTTTTATTGATTGATTGCTTTTAGAGAGAGAGAGGGAGGGAGGGAGAAACATTGATTTTTTTTGATCCACTAATTGATGCATTCGATTCTCATATGTGCTCTGACTGGGGATCAAACCCACAACCGTGGCTCATAGGGACAACCCTCTAACCTAACCACCTGAGCTACCCAGCTAGGGCTGGAAGTGACATTTTCTTTTCTTTTCTTTCCCTCCTTCCTTTCTTTCTTCCTTCCTTTCTTTCTTTCTTTCTTTCTTTCTTTTTTTGAGTAACAAGAATGTTTATTAACGGGGGTGGGGTGGGGAGTGAGGGTAAATGAAGGCATATGTGGGGGTTGGGGGGCAGGGGAGGCTAGGGGGAGGTCAAGGGGGAATAATGAGACATATATACTACTATTTGTAATGCTTCAAACAATTAAAAAAACAAACAGCCGAAACTGGTTTGGCTCAGTGGATAGAGCGTCGGCCTGCAGACTGAAAGGTCCCAGGTTTGATTCCGGTCAAGGGCATGTACCTTGGTTGTGGGCACATCCCCGGTAGGGGGTGTACAAGAGGCAGCTGATTGATGAATCTCTCATATCGATGTTTCTAAATCTCTATCCCTCTCTTCCTCTCTGTAAAAAATCAATAAAATATATTAAAAAATAAGAAATAAATTTAAAAAAACCAAATAAAAAGAAAGTTTATTAACTGGCTCCTACATAAAGTCCCAGTCCTGGAAGCCGTCAACAGACTCCATGGCCTCCATTAACCTTAAGGTCACTGACCCTTTTTCTTCTGTCAGAATCATTGATTTCACAGGGTGAGGTATGTCTGGCCCTGCCAAGGCATTAGGGGTGAGTTAATTAAATGTTTGATTAAATATGGCAGCTAATTTTTAAATTGATAGCATTGTATGGCCCACGAATGATGTTCTAAATATACAAATGGCCTTTGGCATAAAAAGGTTCCCCACCCCTGGTTTAAGGAACCAGATCCAAGCAGAGGAGTGATGGCAGAAGGCTGAGCTGTTCTCTATCCCTGGGGCTGCCCCAAACCCTCTCTAGTCATCGCTGAGCCAATCTAGTTCAAGGGCAGCTGTGATCCTTGTCCTTGAACGGGAAAGACCCAGAACAGACCAAGCCCGAGTCTGACCCACAGATCCATTTCTCACTGGGGCAGTGGCAGAGCTGAGGTCAGTTCCTTATAGTCCTCATTCAAAGGGAGATGTCGCCTGTCTTTGCCTGCGTTTTGGCGCCTTTTCTACTCAAGAAGCTGTCTAGCTTCTTGCTGAGTTTCAGCTCCTTGAACTTCTCAGCTAGGACCCACTGCAGTGTTCAGATTCCTTCAGGAAGTATGGACGACGCCCTGCTGGGCCTGAGCCTGACGCTCCTGCGTCGGAGCCAGGCGCGGCCCTGCTGCCGCTTGCGTTCCTGCTGGGCCATCTCTTGCTGCTCCATTCATTGAAGCAGTCATGCTTCTCCCCTGAACAGCGCTTCTTCAACTGCCTTTTCACAAGCTCCACGGTGGGAAATGGCTGTGGCGGTTAGCATGCTGTAAACGTCAGCTGAAATTCTGTGCCAGGCATTACTCTAAGGAGGTTCGCATACGTTAACTCAGTAACACGGTGAGATAGGAGTTATTATTTCATTTTATGATTAGAAAACTGAAGCAAAGTCAAGTTGAGTAGCTTGCCAATGGTAAGCTACCGTGTTTCCCCGAAAATAAGACATCCTCCGAAAATACGACCTAGCGTATGGAAAGATAAGACATCCCCTGAAAATTAGACCTAGCGCAACTTTGGGAGAAAAATTAATATAAGACACTGTCTTATTTTCGGGGAAACAGGGTAGTTTACTACTGATGAGCCAGGATTTGAATATAAGCACCACATTAGGGAGAATTAACTCTGTCCACCACTACGAACCCAGTTCCCTCTAACCTGTGCCCTAGTTTCCCAACCCCAGAAACCGGTGCCCCAGCCTCATGCGGCACACCTCTTTCTCTCTGGCTCGGATGCCATTCAGGAATTGATAAATTTTGTCAAACTCTTCAGGATTATATTCCCTGACAAATCATCAAAGCGGGGGGCCCGGGCTACCTTCTGACTGATGGGGACAATGTGACCCAAAAATGGCACCCGGACCTTGGCTGGCATTCCCAGAGGCCTGTGCCTCTCTGCAGCACGTGCGTTTGGGACAGGAGGTCTGGAGCCTGGCTTCTTAGTGCTGCTTCCAGCCACCAATTGTTTGTATGTCTTAGTCCCACTTGGCTCTGCAAATGACACGTTAGATGTGCTCTTCCACAGGCCCCCGCCTTCATCTCCGCTATTCCTGACCTCTTGGGGAGAGCTTGCGGCCGGCCCGGTGTGGAACCTTGCTCTCGGCCTGGAAGTGACATTTTCAAAAACATTTTATTTATTTTTTATAAAGGGAGGGGAGCACAGAGAGAGAGAGAGACTTGTTGTTCTACTTATTATTTTTTAAAAATATATTTTACTGATTTTTTCAGAGAGGGAGAGGGATAGAGAGCCAGAATCATCGATGAGAGAGAAACATCGACCAGCTGCCTCCTGCACACCCCCTTACCGGGGATGTGCCCGCAACCAATGTACAATACATGCCCTTGCCCGGAATCGAACTCTGGACCTTTCAGTCCACAGTCCAATGCTCTATCCACTGAGCCAAACCGGTTTCGGCTATTTATGCATTTATTGATTGATTCTTCTATGTGCCCTGACTTGGGATCAAACCCGCAACCTTGTGTATTGGAAATATGTTCTAATCAACAGCCACCTGGCTAGGGTGGAAGCGACATATAAAAAAATATATTTTATTGATTTTTTTTTTACAGAGTGGAAGGGAGAGGGAAAGAGAGATACCAACATTGATGAGCTGAAACCGGTTTGGCTCAGTGGATAGAGCGTCGGCCTCCAGACTGAAGGGTCCCGGGTTCGATTCCCGTCAAGGGCATGTGCCTTCGTTGCGGGCACGTCCCTTGTAGGGGGTGTGCGGGGGGAGCCTGGTCGATGTTTCTCCTCCATTGATGTTTCTGGCTCTCTATCTCTCTCCCTTCCTCTCTGTAAAAAAATCAATAAAATATTATATATGAAAAAAAAAAACATTGATGAGAGAGAGGGAAAGATGGATCAGCTGCCTCCTGCAACACCTCTTACTGGGGATGTGCCCGCAACCAAGGTACATGCCCTTGACCAGAATCGAACCTGGGATCCTTCAGTCTGCAGACCAATGCTCTATCCACTGAGCCAAACCGGTCTCAGCTCACTACTGACTTTTAAAATATATATATTTTATTGATTTCTTACAGAGAGGAAGGGAGGGATAGAGTTAGAAACATCGATGACAGAGAAATATCGATCAGCTGCCTCCTGCATACCCCCCTGCTGGGGATGTGCCTGCAACCAAGATACATGCTCCTTTGACTAAAATCAAACCTGAGACCCTTCAGTCTGCTGGCCAACACTCTATTCACTGAGCCAAACCGGTTAGGGCTCTCATCATTGGTATTTCTCTCACTCTCTCTCTCTCCCTTCCTCTCTGAAATCAATTTTTTAAAAAAGTGACCTCCTTGGTGTCCTTCCTCAACCACCTGCCCCTCCAAGGCCACCAGACCCTTCATCCACCCCCATGCAAAGGCTCCTGCATCATCCAGTTGAAATCCTGAATAGCACTTAGCACTATTGTTAACTTTCTATCTCACCACACAAACTGCGGGCCCTAGAAGGGCAGGGTCTGCACCATATTCACTGCTTAATCTGACCCAGCACAGACGCCATAAATGTAGAGAGTTTATGTTTCTTTGTTCACTGATGCTTCTCTCTATCTCTATCTCCACAAATGACCCAACCAGACCCTGTGCACAGTTAGACCCACGAGAAACAGTCCCCACCCTGGAGGGTCTCAGTCTTGCTGGAGGGAAAGAGATGTCAGTCCGGAATCCCAGGGGAAGGTCAGGGCAGGCTTCCCAGAAGAGATGACGATGACAGAGGGGGCTTCCTGGGGAAGACTAGAGGGTTATGCAGCATGTGGAGGCTTCTGGAGACTTTCGAGGTACGGACAAGGATCAATATCCTATTTGATAAGAAATGCTCAGTAGCAGAAACTGTCTGAGAGTTCCCGATGACTTGAATTTTGTCCAAAGGAACGTTTAAGAAGCCTTTCTCTCACTCCAGGGGACGGCAAGGAAAGGACAAGCGCCCCGCAATTCCTTGGCTCTCCAGCAGGCGGCGATAAAAATAGAGTCCTTCCTCATTTTCGCGTCGCGAAAGGAAATAACGGCTCTAAGCGGCTTCCGTATTTCACAACAGGCCACGCCCCGGACCAGAGGCTTCGAAGACGGTCATGTGACTAAACCTCTTCCGGTCTGTCCTTCCAGTTTTTTTCCGCGCCTGTTTCCTGTGCTCTCGTGGAGAGGCGCGCGCCGGGCACCGCGTCTGCGGCCACCGGAGGCCTGGCGAGGGCCTGCGCTGGTGCGAGCGCGGCGGCGGGAGCATGGAGGGCGCCCCGGAAGGGGAGGCGCCGGCGGCGGCGCTGGCCGCGGTGCTGAAGCACAGCTCGGCGCTGCCGCCCGAGAGCGCCCAGGTCCGCGGCTACGACTTCAACCGCGGCGTGGACTACCGCGCGGTGCTGGAAGCCTTCGGCACCACCGGCTTCCAGGCTACCAACTTCGGCCGCGCGGTGCATCAGATCAACGCCATGGTGAGGCGGGGCGGGGCTTCCAGTTCAGAGGGCGTGGCCTCTGGTAGCGCCAACGCAGTGCACTTCCTGGAGAGGGCGGGGCTTACCCGAGAGAGGGGCGTGTCTCTCGCGGGGGCGGCCCAGTAGTTGGAGAGACGTGGGCCTTACCGGGGACTGGAGTTTGTGGGTTAAGGAGGGGAAGTTGCTCCCCAGCAGCGACATCCTAACATCAATAAGGGGGCGGGGACTGATTCTAGAGGGTGGTTTAGTCTTTGTGTTCGGAAATGGAAGGAGCCCAGGGCTAGACCGTGCCCTGGAAGGAGGGATTGGAACAGCCTGTCTGGGCAGGGCCTTGGATTTGCTCCTCCCAGGGGAAAGGAGTGAGGCAAAGCGTGAGGGGGGGTGTGCCCCAGAGCCAACCAGTGGAAGGGGCGGAGTGCGCTCCCTCCCCTCCTTCCTGGTGTAAGTGGTCCTCTTTCTCCGAGTGGGCAGGGCTTGGGAGCGGAGTGTAATTCTGAAAGCCACTGGGGTGCTTGGGCTGGAGTTTGGGTTCAGAGGTTAATTTGACCCCTCCGTTACACACAGATAGAGAAGAAGCTGGAGCCTCTGCCGCAGGATGAAGACCAGCACGAAGACCTGACCCAGAGCCGCCGCCCACTCACTGGCTGCACCATTTTCCTGGGCTACACGTCCAACCTCATCAGTTCAGGCATCCGTGAGACCATCCGTTATCTGGTACAGCACAACATGGTGAGGAGCTGATGGGCTGGGCTGAGGCCTTGATCTCTCTGGGTCTCAGTGGGCAATAAGATTACTGGTCATTTTAGTAAGAGGGAGATATGGGTCAGTTTTGAGCAGAGGGACGGGATTGAGTTTTGTTTTGCAGCAGACATTCCTGTGAAGTTACTAGATGAGGGTTGGGAGTTTGGAGCCCTGCCCAGAATGTGGGCAGGGTCCTCCTGTCTGGGCCAACCTCGTTGCATGTGGCTGCAGGTGGATGTCTTGGTTACCACGGCTGGGGGCGTGGAGGAGGATCTCATCAAGTGCCTGGCACCCACATACCTGGGCGAGTTCAGCCTCAGGGGGAAGGAGCTACGCGAGAACGGGATTAACAGGTGGGAGGGGCCTAAGCGGTGTTGGGCAGGGGAGCTGGACCGAGGGTCCTGGGGCCTGATGCCTTTCTGCCTCCTGTCTCCAGGATTGGGAACCTGCTGGTGCCCAATGACAATTACTGCAAGTTTGAGGACTGGCTGATGCCCATTCTGGACCAGATGGTGCTGGAGCAGAACACAGAGGTGGGGCTGGAACAGCCTGGGGGGCTGGCATGGTGGCAGAAGGGGAGGCACCATTGGCTGGAGCTGATGTCCCCTCCCAGGGTGTGAAGTGGACGCCTTCCAAGATGATTGCCCGCCTCGGCAAGGAGATCAACAACCCGGAGTCGGTGTATTACTGGGCCCAGAAGGTGAGGAGCTGGACCTGTCTCACCTTCAGTCGCCTAGGGAGTCAGTGCTGTTCTCATCACCTGCACTCTTCGATGAGGGATTTCAGACACAGGCTAGACAGCTTTTCTGAGGTCACACAGCTACTGAGTGTGGTCCTCCTATCCTGGCTCTACTCCTGCACCACCTGGGAGCAGTTGGGGCAGTGCTCAGCAACCCCCCCGGGGCCTGTCATAGGGCCCACTGCCCCTCAGAGGCTATCAGGTTCAGCAATGGGAAAAATAATACAACCTACTATTTCTTATGTCCTGGGCATGTTCCAGTGTTTTACGTGGGTTTTCTTATAAATGCTTCCTCATCTGTGAGGGAGGTACTGTTGTTACTGTCATTTTACAGTCAAGGAAACTGACGCCAGAAAAGTTAAGCACCATGCCCAGAATCAGGCAGAGAGGGAATGCTGCCAGAATGGGGACCCACCTGTCCCCCCCAGGATCTGACTCCTGCTGCTGTCCTGTCCTGCACTCCCCCAGAACCACATCCCCGTATTGAGCCCGGCCCTCACAGACGGCTCGCTGGGCGACATGATCTTTTTCCATTCCTACAAGAACCCGGGCCTGGTCTTGGACATCGTGGAGGGTGAGGTGCCGGGGCCAGAGGAGTGGGGGAGGAGGGCTGGCTGGGTCTGGGGCCTGATCATCGTGCTCTCCCCCAGACCTGAGGCTCATCAACACACAGGCCATCTTTGCCAAGCGCTCTGGCATGATCATCCTGGGCGGGGGTGTGGTCAAGCACCACATCGCCAATGCCAACCTCATGGTGAGTGGGGATGGAGCACCTGGTCCCTGGTGTGGGGTGGCACTTGGGTCTGCCATGTAGAGATATGTGTGCTAGGCTAGGCCCCGTGCTGGAGACAACATGCCAGGATCCCTGCCTTCCTGGGACTGATGTTTTAGTGGGGGAGACAGGCAGTAAGTTAGGTGGCAGTCATTGCCATGGAGAAAAACGAGGGGCGACAAGGTGGTAACACAAAGGTACAATGTTCCAAAAAGGGAAGCCTGTGACAGGAGTAGAGCAAATTTAAATGTCTCCCTTGAGCCATGTGGTTGCTCTGAAGAGGTCCCAGCAGAGGGAACAGCCAGTGTAAAGGCTCTGAGGTGGCTGAATGAATTAAGGAACAGCTAGGAGGCCTGTGAAGGGGAGAGTGGCAGGTGAGAGCCGAGACTTGCAGGGCCTTGAGGGCTGTGACTCAGGTGCTCACAGGTGCCCTCTGGTGGCTGCAGGGGGAACAACTAGGACCAGGACTGGCCAGGATAGGAACCAAGGCAGGAAAGAAGTGGTTGGGTTCAGAGGTCTTCTGAAGATAGAGTTGGTGGCAGATGTGAGAGGGTTATTGCTATCATTTTCCCAGTAACTCTCCAACCCCTAACTGCCCAGCATTGATGTAGGACCCCTTCCTTGCAGAGAGGGGCCACCAAGAGGCCCTCCTTTATCTACCGTGTTTCCCCGAAAATAAGACCTAGTGCAACTTTGGGAGAAAAAATTAATATAAGACACTGTCTTATTTTCGGGGAAACAGGGTAGGACACATAGCTCAGCCTCTCTAGCTGCAGTGCCCTGTGTGTCTGACTTCTGTGACTGGCTAACTCTGTCCCGTCTCCTCTCCCCCTCTCCCCCTCCCAGCGGAATGGCGCTGACTATGCCGTCTACATCAACACGGCCCAGGAGTTTGATGGCTCTGACTCTGGTGCTCGGCCGGACGAAGCTGTCTCTTGGGGCAAGATAAAGGTGGATGCAGAGCCTGTCAAGGTGAGGGCCAGCCAGCCTGCTGGGATGTAGGGTCTCCCAAGCTGTAGCTTTGGGTCCCATGCTCACAGTGCTCTTCCCCGAGTCTGACGCCCAGAAAAGTTACACACCATGGGTCCCCTCCACAGGTCTATGCTGATGCCTCCCTCGTCTTCCCCTTGCTTGTGGCTGAAACGTTTGCCCAGAAGGTAGATGCCTTCACGCCTGAGAAGAACAAAGACTGACAGCTGTGGCCCTCCCCTATTTATTTGTTTTCAGACTTGCCCCCTCCCCCGCTCCCCGGTCAGCAGCCCACCAGGAATAAATGGTCTCGGTGGTCCAGAGTCTGCATCTGTGTCCGTAGCGGTGGAGGGTCCCCTGGCCTCAGCCTGTGCCGCTCTCGGGCTCGTAGGCCTCTTCCCGCCAGCAGTGGATGCTGCCCCCCGTGGCCGCCAGCAGGCAGGGCTCTGTCGGGTGGTAGGCCAGTGACTGCACCACACCAGGGCCCACCTGCAGGGCCAGGGCCAGGGCACCCTGTGGAACAAGGGGGCGGGGAGCAGTTATCAGTGAGCCTCCCATCCCCTGACCTTCAGCCACCTGCTTCTAATGGCTTTCCAGTCACTGCAAAACTAGTCTGCCCCAAAATGAGCCCCTCAGTGCCTGTCCTTCCAGCTGTTCAAGCCCAAACCTTGGGAGTCTTTTTCACGCCTCTCATCCCTTTATCTGTAGTTGCCATCTGATGGTCCGTAAGGTCCAAAAGGTTGGCGACTGCTGCTTCAGACTACATTCAGAGGCCACCGCCCCGCTCTGAGCCGGCGATGCCCGGCTCTAAGCTGCCCTCCCCCCTCCGCCATGGGGCTCTACACGTCTACTTGGCAGCGTCAGTGCTTGCACTTTATCAACCCAGACACAGCGGCTCCACGTACAGTTTCTCAAGGAGGCCATGGTTCCTCTGTCCCTCCCTCCCTCCCTCCCTCCCTCCCTCCCTTTCTTTCTTTCATTATTGATTTTTACAGAGAGGAAGGGAGAGAGATAGAGAGCTAGAAATGTCGATGAGAGAGAAACATCGACCAGCTGCCTCTTGCACACCCCCTATCGGGGATGTGCCCGCAACCAACGTACATGCCCCTGACCAGAATCGAACCCGGGACCTTTCAGTCCGCAGACCGACGTTCTACCACTGAGCCAAACCGGTTTTGGCTGTCCCCTTTTTGCTCTATCAGATCCTCAAGTAGGCAGAATATTGGCTCTTAGTCCCCTGAGTGAGAGCTGGCACCTCAAGTTCCAAAGGTCCTCCAGTTCCCTCCATCCTCTTAGGGGACTTCCTTCCCCTGGCCACGCCCCAGCACCCACTCTTCTTCCATGAGACTCTAGCCCTGGAACCCCTCAGCCAGCCTGTCTGCTCTCAGCCTGATGCCACCAGGCTGGGACACATCAGAACAGGGCTCACAGGGCTGTAGCTAGAAACCACAGGGATGCTCAGGAGTAGCTCAGGTTTCCTGAACAGCTACAACCTCATCTCCTCCAGGGTTAGATGTCGCCACTGGTTCCCCCACCCTCAGGGTCAGTCCCAGTGGCTCAGCCTGGCATTGGCAGCCCTGCCTGAGGTGGCTCCTGCTGCCGCCACTGCCATCCTGAAGTGCTGCTATTTCCTGACGAAAGCGTGCCACACTTTCCAGCCTTAACACATACGGTTCCCTTTGCTGGAATGCCCTTCCTGCCCTCTCACTCCCAGCCACTGTTCTGACAGCGCTCCCTCTTCCAGGTCTGGGGATGACTGAGTAAAGACAAAGGGGGGACAGTGCAGTGTTGGGGTGGAGAGGCTCACCTCCACAAGGTCCCAAAAGAACACCTTCCCGTCCTCGGAGCAGCTGACGACATGCGTGTCACGCTCGCTCAGGCAGCAGTCCAGCTTGTACTCTTGGTTCTTATGGCCTGTGTACCTGGGGGTGGATGGGATCAGTGGGGCTTGGGCCTTACCGGGGGCAGAGGTGGGGAGAGGGGCCCCACAACCCCAAGAACTCACTCCCCTAGCAGCTCCCCCGTGTCCTTGTCTAGAAGCCTCAACGTGGAATCCAGGCTGGACACCAGGGTGCACTGGCCATCCCGGCTGAAGCAGGTGCAAGTGATGGGGCCTGGGGGGAGGGGAGACGTGGATAGGCAGGTGGGCTGAGGCCCCTTTGGCCGCCTCTGCCTCCGCCTCCCCTGCCTGGCCCACAGCCCGGCCATACTCACTGCCCACGTAGTCTGAGAAGAGCTGTCCCATCCTCAGGTCGTAGCGCCTGACGCGGCCATCCACGGAGCTACAAGAGAGGGTGGATCCAGTTAAAGTTCCAGCTGGGGCCAGTGGCGCCATGGCTCCAGGTAATCTCTACCTGGCCAGGGCCCTAAGGACAAGGCTCAGCCTGTCCTTTCTATGCACCCCTCCCCGTCACACTCCCTTCTCAGGGCTAGCCAGTTTTCTCAGAGGTTAAAGTGTTGATCTTTGAACTAAAGGGTCGAGGGTTCCATTCTGAATCAAGGGCTCATTCCTCAGTTGTAGTTCCCAGCCCTGGTAGGGGTGAGTCAGGGGGTAACCAGTAGATGTCTCTCTCTCACATCGATGTTTTTTTCTGTTTTTCTTCCCTCCCACCCTCTCTAAAAATCAACGAAAAAATGGCCTTGGGTGAGGATTAACAAAAAAAGAAAACATGCACTGAAGTGAATTCATGAATGGGATTCTGAGGCACTGGCTTTGAGACCCAGACCCAGACACCAATCAGGACTACTCAATTCGTTTCTGATAGGCACGGAGCGTCCTCTCTCGGCCGGATTCTATAGCAGGAAGGGGTGGCTTGGGACACAGCTGACCAAGCCAGGAGAAATTCCTGGAGCCTTGCTGGCTCAGGGTCATAGAGGAAGTCCTTCCCAAGGTGCCATCTGACCTGGGACTTGAAGGAGGAGAAGGAGCCAACCTTGTGGGAAGATGGGTGGGAACAGCCAGTCAGCAGGCTGGACAGTCCAAACTCCCCCCACGGTGGGAATGGCGCTCTTGGGCTGTGGCAACCCTTGAGCAGCTCTGCGTGGGAATTTTTTCTTTTCAAAATAACTCTGTAGGCAGAAAATTTTCCCTTATTTCCCTGTCTTATTCACAGCTGCATGCTCATTGCCTAAAAAAGGGGCCTGTGTGAGGTGCTCAAAAACAATTGCAATAAGTAGGCAGAGGAAGAACAGTTGCAAAGCATGCTTGGCATGTTTACCTGAAAGGAGGCTGGGAATGCACAGAAGCTGAGAGGTCAGGGTCTTGGGAGGCATGGTGAGGAGAGCGGATTTTAAGCACAGGGACAGCTCTGACACACAGGGGGAGGGGCAATGATCTAGCTCCACTCACCCTGCTAGGACCTCATGGTCCGACACCTTCACACTGGATACACCATCCTTGGCTTCGTCCAGCTTCTGCACGGGGTCCGGCCTCCGAGAACGGCAGTCCCAGCAGCGGATAGTGGAATCAATAGAGCCTGTGAGGCCGGCATGAAGGTGAGGTCAGGTCTGGGGGGCAGGGGCTCCCCTGCCTAGGCCACATACTCACCTGACAGGATGACTGTGGCCTCTTCATTAAACTGCACCGTGTTCACCTTCTGAGAAACAGTAAGTACCTCTCAGAGGGGGCTGGTCTTTGAAGAATTGGGATAAAGACAGGGTTCCCAGTGTGGGTTAAAGTGAGGACAAAAGCTAGGGGTAGGGGAGGTGAAACGTTTTGAGGATACTGCACGGAAGGGGCCTGGTGAATGCGCTGTCGTGTGTGTGTGTGTGTGTGTGTGTGTGTGTGTGTGGGAAGGGGAACTGTCACCCCTGCACACTAATGCGGGTCCCCTCCGCGATCCATGCTCTAATGAGTCTTCTTTCTGCTCGTACTCACCCCTGCGTGACCCCGGAATTTCCGCACGACCTGCCCAGATGCCACATCCCACAGCACCACCGCCTTGTCCCCGCCGCCGGAGCAGAGGTTGCTGTTGTCAAAGGACCTAGAGGGCGGGGGAGGGAAAGTCAGCATCGACCTGGGATCCCCGCCTCCATGCCCCTCTCCCGGCCGGCCCCGGCTCACCCGGCCGCGTCCAGCACCTCGTAGCCGTGGCCGCTGTAGGTCCGCAGCAGCGTCCCCCGCAGCGGGTTCCACAGCTTCAGGGTCTTGTCGCTGCCGCACGTCAGGCAGTAGTTGCCATCCACTTGGGGAGACCAGGCGGGGGTTACCGGGCTGCTGACCTCCAGGGGCCAGGGGCCGGCTCGGAACGAAGAGGAGGGCGCTCACCATTAAACCGCACGGCTCGCACCGCTCCCTGCCCGCAGTCCAGCGTCTTCAGCCGCTTCTGCGGCAGCACCGGGCCGCGCGGCTTCGGCTCCGGGAAAGACATGGCTCCGGGACGCCTTCCTCGCCGCCCCACGTCGGTCGGCACACAAGTTCCGCGCTTCTCTCGCTCGGTGCAACCTTACTATGGTCCCGACGGTCTACTTCCGGTTCACCACTTCCGGTTCACCACTTCCGGACCCAAAGTTTCGGCTTTTTGGAGGTGATGTTGGGAAATACCATCACTGCAGGCTGCCTCCAGGTTCCAGGTTTCTCCCGCCATTCCCTGCCCCCTTCTCTCCGTCCCCCCCCCTTCCCCCGCGCTAGGTACGGGAGCGTGAGGGCTGCGGGTGCGACCGTAAAAAGCGCCCCCGGTTCCCACGCCGGAAGAGGCAATTCCGGCCCCGGAAGAGGGGCGTCCTCCGACTCGCAATGTCCACGAACAACATGTCGGACCCACGGAGGCCGAACAAAGTGCTGAGGTAAGGACCCCAGTGTCCTGGGAACGAGGCCCGGACTGTGGGTCGGGGCGCAGGGAAGCACTTGTCCATCCGGGGGCGGGACGTGAGTGCCCCTGACCCTCCGTCCCGCCGCAGGTACAAGCCTCCGCCGAGCGAGTGTAACCCGGCCTTGGACGACCCGACGCCGGACTACATGAACCTGCTCGGCATGATCTTCAGCATGTGCGGCCTCATGCTCAAGGTGGGCAGGGCTGCCTGTCCCAGCCGGACTACGAGGCCAGGGGCGGATTCGCAATGAAGAGGGGGCGGGGCTGGAGTGACGTCGGACGGAGGAAGCCAAAGCCTTGGGGAAAGTCAGGAATCCGGGTCAGGGTGGGGATGTGGGAGGTTGGTGTGAGGGTGGGGCCAGGTTGTAAAGCAGCTTGGAGGGGATGGTGGAGAAAGGGAGGGGTCATTAGCATGATGGATAGGCTATGTTGAAGTCTAGTCTTTGTAGGTCTGAGGGTGGGGTCAGAGGCACTGGGGTGGACAGGGAGTAGGGCCCAAAACTCTGTACCTGGAGTAGGCTATGGGTGTATGGGACTGAGAGACTCCTGGGGTTAGGGGGCAAGGTTTAAGCTGCCCCACTTGAAACCAGTGGGTTGGAACCAGTGCCTGGGAATGCCCCTTGTCTGCCACCGACCTAACCCACCCGTCTACCTACCTTTCCCCAGCTGAAGTGGTGCGCTTGGGTTGCTGTCTACTGCTCCTTCATCAGCTTCGCCAACTCCCGGAGCTCTGAGGACACTAAGCAGATGATGAGTAGCTTCATGTGAGGCCGGGCCTAAGAGAGGGGAGGGAGGACCCAAGCCTTCCCATCTTGACTGACACCTTTCTCCCGTCTCAGGCTGTCCATCTCTGCCGTGGTGATGTCATATCTTCAGAACCCTCAGCCCATGACACCCCCTTGGTGACTGATGTCAGCCTAGAGGGGTCACATCCTGGACCTCTCTATTCACCTCCCTCCAGGGCTGGTCCCTAGCTGCTCAGCCTCCTGCCCTGGAGGAGGTGGTCGCAGGGCCTCCAGCTGGATGGAAGGAAATTAGACCTTTCCCTGGGGTCCCACTGCTACTGGGGCAGCGAGGGGAGGACCCTCAATGTACTCCTGCCTGCCTTCCCCACCCTGGGTGCTGCTGGGGGAGAGCTGTCCATGTTTCTAGGGATAAACACTTATTTTCTTGTTGGAACCAGTTTGTAATAAAGATTTGCATTCTGGCTGTTCTCCGAGACCTCTCCTTCTGTGCATTGTGGATGGTCTCCTAGAAGGGCTCCAGTTCCTCCACTAACTCAGGCCTGGGTGAGGCCCCTCTGGATCTTTCTGCTTCACTTGCTCACTCACAACCTTCATGCCTTAAGGCAGCTGCCGGAGGCGGGCCAGTGACCCTCGCCTCTGGCAACTCAGCAGGTAGCCCTGCTAACCTGAGGAATCTGGGCTTTGATTTTATTTTTGTTCTTATTAATCTTCGCCCCAGGATATTTTCCCATTGATCTTTTGAGAGAGTAGAAGGGAAAAGGAGAGACACAGAGAGAGAGAGAAATATCAGTGTGAGATGGGGGGGACAAGCCTGCAATCAAGGTACGTGCCCTTAACTGGAATTGAAACTGGGCCCCCTCAGTCCACAGGCCAATGCTCCATCCACTGAGCCAAACCAGTTAGGGCAGGACTTTGATTTTCTTATCAAAGGAGTGAGAGAATGTCATTGAACTGGATGTACTGATAGGGAGTCAGAAAGGCATGAAAGACTGTCTTCTCCCAGAGCGGAAGAGGTTCTTCCATGACTTGACTGCTCTGACCCTGAGAGCCAACCAGGACCAGAACTGGGAGATTGCTTAGTAAACCTCCCCCACCCCCAAAAGACCTTTCTGATTGTACTTGATGTGCATTCTGACACAAATCACCCCGCTTTTGCCTCTTGCTTTGTGCCAGTTCCTGGAACAGATTGTCCTGACATGTTCAAGCATGTGAAGTAATTTCCCATACTTAGTAGCATTCACATATCCTATATAATAAAAGCCTAATATGCAAAGTGTCCGCTTGTCCGGTCAGCCTTTCAACCAATTGAAGCATAATACACTAATGATATGCTAATGATGCCCAGCGGCTCACTATGCTATGTGCAGTGACCATCGGGGCGGATGCTCCAATGGGTACGTTAGCTTGCTGCTGGGGTCTGGTCAGTCAGGACTGAGCAAGATGGGCCGAACATGCCCTTCCCTGCTGGCCAACCTTCTGCTGGTGGGGTCCCTTGGCTTGGCCTGTGCCCTCACAATCTGAGACCCCTTGGGGGATGTCAGAGAGCTGATTTTGGCCTGATCCTGCAGGCCAGGCCTCTAGTTAGTATATATGACTATTACTCCCTTTACCCTGTACAGTTCTTTGGCACCTACCAAGCAGCATGGGGATCAATTTCTTTTAATTTTAATTTTTATATTTTATTGATTTTTCACAGGAAGAGAGAGGGATAGTTATAAACATCAATGAGAGAGAATCATCAATCAGCTGCCTCTTGCACACCCCCCAAGGGGGATGTACCCACAACCAAGGTACATGCCCCTGACTGGGATCCAACCCGGGACCTTTCAGTCCGCAGGCCGACGCTCTATCCACTGAGCCAAACTGGTCTCGGCAGCATGGGGATCAATTTCAACTGGCAGCCACTCAAGACACACCTGTATGTCAGTTTCCCTTTAAGATCTATTATTAGAGAGGAGTGGCAGCTTTCTTTGGTCTTTCCCCACCCTCTGCTTAGGGAGGTAGGTTTTCAGTCTTGGGGCTTTTCCCTGGATGTGTGTGCACTAACAATTGCAAGCCAGCCGGGACCGGTTTGGCTCAATGGATAGAGCGTTGGCTTGGGGACTGAAGGGTCCCGGGTTCGATTCCAGTCAAGGGCATGTACCTTGGTTGCGGGCATATCCCCAGTAGGGGGTGTGCAAGAGGCAGCTGATCGATGACTCTCTCTCATCGATGTTTCTAACTCTCTATCTCTCTCCCTTTCTCTCTGTATAAAAATCAATAAAATATATTTAAAAACAAAACAAAACAATTGCAAGCCAGCCAGAAGACCAAAGAAATGGGCTTTGGTGAAGGGGTCGACCTGGTCATTGACCTCTGTGTGGGGAGAGGTGAGCTGTATGTGAGACACAAGTGGACTGCACATGAGAGTGGGGACACTCTGAACATTCTGGCTGGTCTCGTACTTTTGTAAAGAGCTGCACTGTGGCAAGGCAGGAAATTTATGGCTACAACTGTAGGCTGGTCACAGATGCCCGCCTAGAGACAAAAGACAGGGTTAGAAAGAAGAACTGAAACTAGAAAAAGATGTTAGAATGTCTACACCTCTGTTAGCATAGGGACTGGCAGGTAAAGGCGAGTGGGCGGGCAGGAAGCTCCTTTTTAAAAAATACATATTTTTTATTGATTTAGCAGAGAAGAAGGTAGAGGGATAGAGAGCTAGAAACATCAATGAGAGAGAAACATCGACCAGCTGCCTCCTGCACACCCCTTTCTGGGGATGTGCCCACAACCAATGTACATGCCCCTGACTGGAATCGAACCTCGGACCCCTCAGTCCGCAGACCGGACACTATTCACTGAGCCAAACCGGTTTTGGCAGGAAGCTCCTTTGAACAGATTGCACCTCTTTTATTTATTTATTTTTATACATTTTATTGATTTTTTTACAGAGAGGAAGGAAGAGGGATAGAGAGTTACATCGATCAGCTGCCTCCTGCACATCCCCTACTGGGGATGTGCCCGCAACCAAGGTACATGCCCTTGACCTGAATCGGATCTGGGACCTTTCAGTCCGCAGGCCTACGCTCTATCCACTGAGCCAAACTGGCTAGGGCAGAAAACACAGATATTTACATTACAACTCATAACAGTAACAAAATTACAGTTATGTGTGACAGTTGGCCTAGCCAGCCCAAGAGAGATAAGGACTCTGGAGACAGACCAGACCAGAGTAGAAAATTTTAAAAGATAAAGTCAGTTGAAACTCAGTGCCTGGAATTCCTCTGTAGTGAAACATGCAGACCTCCCTTTAGATCTGGCTAGGAGATTGGCGCCAGCAAAACCCGCAGCATCCTGCACTGCTGTTTGGAGTCAGAACAGACATTTTGCTTGAGGCAGAACAGGCCAGGTTGTGCAAACCGCCTAAGGAACAGCTAAGGACGGCCAGTTCTTTGTCCTGAGGGGCCAATCAGGGAGTGACAGACCAACAATGGGATGGGAGGGGAAAAAGAGATATAAAAAGAGGGATTGCCCCTCCATCGGGGCTCTCACCTGGGTGTTTGCCGGCTGCTGCGTCAGCCAAGGTTTGAGCCCGGATTCGAATCTGTAATAAACTCTTGCATGCTTAAATCAAATTGGCTCCGGTGCTTCATCTCTTGGGGACTCGCTTTGTAACATTATGAAGTAGCAATGAAAATAATTTTATGGTTGGGGGGGTCACCACAACATGAGGAACTGTATTAAAGGGTTGCAGCATTAGAAAGGTTGAGAACCGCTAATCTCTTAAGTGGCCTCAGGGCAAGGTGTTTTCCAATAGGGTGTGTCCACTGTCTTCCTCCCAGGCCGGGCAGATGTCTATGTGGGAAAGTTGCCCTCTGCTGTGTGAGGGAATGACTCAGCCCAGGAAATGGGCTGTCTGCCTTCTCAGCTCTATCACCTGCATCCTCAGTCCTGGGTTCTGCTCTCACAGCTCCAGTGCCCTTCACCGTCTCCCTGCTGGAGCACAATGTGGGTGGCTTCACAGGGAATTTTGTGCATTGGCCCTTTAAGAGGGTGCCTAATGTTCAGCTGTTACTCCCTGGCAGACAGCACCCTGCTGCTTTTCACAGCACCTCCTCAGTGTTGGTGCTCTCTACTAGGGCACCCAGCTTGTGGATTAGACCCCAGAGTTCTCAGTGACAACCCCTCACAGCTGAGACGTCTCTCAGGAACTTCAGTTGCTGTCTGTGGGCGCTGCCCTTCCGTGCCTCCGCCCCTCCTCCTAATCTCTATGTGGTCTCCACGTTCGGTCCTTGGGTTTCAGGGTTCTCTCCTGCAAGTCTTCCATTGATTATTCGGGAAGTTTTTCTATATTTTAGTTGTAATTTCTATAATTTAGTTTGTTCCTGGGAGCATGCCCACGCAGCATCCACTTACTCTGTCGCCATTTTTAATCTCCTAAAATCACAATCTTTAAAATATATATATATATTTTATTGATTTAAAAAATATATTTTATTGATTTTTCACAGAGAGGAAGAGAGAGGGATAGAGAGTTAGAGACATCGATGAGAGAGAATCATCGATCAGCTGCCTCTTGCACACCCTCCACTGGGAATTTGCCCGCAACCAAGGTACATGCCCTTGCCTGGAATCGAACCCGGGACCTTTCAGTCCGCAGGCCGACGCTCTATCCACTGAGCCAAACCGATCTCAGCTAAAATCACAATCTTAATGCTATACAAGTTGCCCCTCTTTTTTCTATTAATAATAAAAATATTTTTTAAAAAATCAAACAGAGTTCTAGCTGATGCTCTATCCACTGAGCCAAACCTGGTAGCATTCAACCCTCTCCCCTTACCCTATATAATTCGTTGGCACCTGTCAAGCGGTTCAGGGACCCATTTCCTCTTAGTTAAGTTTCCCTTAATAAGCTCCATTAATTATTAGACTAGTGGGAAGACTCTTTGGTTTTCCCCTTTTCCCCTGCCCTCCGCTATGGAGATACAGTTTCAGCCTTGGGGCTTTTTCCTGGAGCTGCATGTACTAACTTCTCCCAAGGAGGCTGGATGTCTGTCTCCCATCCCCAGCGCTCCAAGGACAGTTCCTTTACCCAACGTCTCCATTCCCATTGGACAGAACAGGGCCCTCATCAAACACTCCCTGCTCCGAGCCCCAAGGCTAATGTAACGCCGGAGGGCCCCAGGCACACTGTCCACCTCCCAGGCAACCCGGCGCTGGCGGGAAAACCCTTGACCTCTGGACTCTCAGGGACCAAGGGGGTCCCCCAGGCCACCCGAAGGCGGCGAAACGTCCACGGCTCTTCAGCCAAAGCGAGGGTGGGACGCGCCAGTGCCCCTAGCAGTATCCAGGACCACGGCCTCAACCAATCACAGGCCGAGTGGCGCCCTAGCCCCGCCCCTCCAAGCTCCCATTGGCTAGGCGGCAATCCGGGGGGCGGGGCCTCCGCTGGGCTTGGGCGAGCCGGGAACTGGCTGTGGGC